CCCCCCCCCAAAAACTCCAATTATTACACTGTGCATTCCATTTAGTATTAATGGCGCTGTGCACCACTACACAGAAAATGAATTTTTGCAAAGCGAAAATTTTGCGAAATGCATGTTTGCAGCAGAACATTCTGCAAAGAAATTATGTAAACCCATGAAAAATATAATACAGAAATTTATAGTACAATGCATACATGTAAACACAAAATTGTCTGTCGATTCCTCCCCTACCCAAAAACATTCCAGCAAGCTAATCTTGGCAAAAGATGCTTTTGGCAGGTTTTACAGCCAACTTTGCCAACTTTCGAATAGGTGTAGGTAATATGGTAAAAATGTAAAATCACAATAATTAGAAATGCACTAAAATTTTAGCCACTGAAAAATTTTGTTAAAAAATTGTAAAAAAAATTTACTGGTTTTCAGTCAGAAGACAAAAAAGATTATACAAAAGAAATAACAAAAGACTAAACAGAACTACAATGAAATGTCAAAGTCTAACACTTTTCTTAAATGAAAATTATTTGAAAGATTATGAAAACAAGAGACAGCGTCTGTTCTCTTTGCTGTCTTGCACCGCTCAGCACAGAGGCGTTCAAACAGTCTAAGCAGCAGGAGATAAACAGAGGAAAAAGTTGGCCGCATGGAACTGTTTTACATTTTCTATAAAGGACATTATACAAGTGATTAATAATCGTTGTACATGCCGAGTACCATGAGAGAGTACAACACTCAAGCACTTCTCCACTATACTTCTCCACCACTTGAAAACATGACATCATCTCATTCAATACGCAAAAATACAGCACAACATCAGAAGCAGGAAGGAAAGTCCCTGCTAGTACAATGATGCGGTCTGTTTATGAAGTGATGGGAAAAATTCACAAACCACAGAGCCAAAGTGTAAAGTAACACTAAAAAATAATGAATTCATTGCTTTGGGTGACCAGCCATTCTTTGTTGTTGGAAACCTGGATTTCGCGGAACATTAAGTTTTTTATCTAAACTGTATTGATGGTTTCCACCCAACGAAAACTGGGGTAGGTTCCAGCAACCCCCACAAGGATAAGTGGCTTAGAGAATGTGTGTGTATTTATGGTCAGTTCACTACACAGTGATTTTTATTCAATGTTTCACATCCTGCACTAAACAAGATAAAATTAAACAGGACTAATTATACACTCTTTGTAATAAAACATGCATTCAGTGTACTCACAATATCTGCAGAAAACCACATTGTAATGTGATGAAATTCATGATGATACTAACAAATACCGTCATATTGCCAGCCTCTACTTTGGATCACCTGAAAATTTTCACTTAAAAGGTTCTTTTTATCTAGCTTACAAATAAAATTTGTAAATAACAGTTCAGAGCTAGGCTTAATAATACAAACTAGTCACATTTTGCAAATGGAAGAACTTACACGATTCCATTAAAGACCTTCAAAGAGTAAAGATTTTTCAACTGTGATTTAGAGTAGTTTTGTCTGTTTATATAATCTCCATCTTTACCGTTTTTATTATCAGTTTTATTCTCCTATTCATGCATGTGTACACACCTGAATATCACTGCTTATTACCAACCTGCCTCCCCTACAACTCTCCCTTTGTGAAAAGCATCAAAAAGCTCATCTAAAAACCTAATGCCAATTAATGAATACATTGTACTTTCCACATTGTAAGAATGGCATTGGGTCTTAACTTTGAACAAGTCAGGAATGCTTCACTCAACAAAATTAATAAAGAACAGGCCCTCTAACTTCAGGCAACACTTGGAGACTAGATTTTATTTTGGCCTCTTAAAGAATACAAAAAAACATTCATACTTTGTATTCCTTAGTGCCCTTTTTCTTTTTCATTATCCTGATATACATTAGGTTTTGTGCGATTCCTCTAAATATGCATGTGATTCTTATAAATCCTCTTATTGAAATAGGATATTACCTGTTACATTTTAAGCATTCCTGTGTGATTTGGAAAATTCAGAACTGCACTTATCACTCTTCTTCTTTATGCAAAAGACAGAAGATCTAGCAGAATGTTCTAGAGAGCCTGTTTCCTCTTTGGAAAAGGAAACCAGGATTTACATCTGCATGTCTGAGAGAGTGGAAGGTAGGTTTGAGTGATAAAATGATGTCATATTGTTATCGTGATAAATTACAACATGGTAAGCATTTCTGAGCATATCCTCAGTATTTCCAGAACACTAACCAATTTCTATTACAAAAAGATTTAGAAGAGGCTCTCAAGTAGGGATATGCATCCCAACTAATTTTGATATTTGAGTACCCATAAGAAATACTGAACAGCTATTCAGTCAACTACAAGGAAGAAATAAAGGCACTTCTTCTGATTTGAATCATAGTTTTTACTCGTAATACACAAAAAGGGTAAACCAGGGCACAAGTGCCAGCAAGCTAATAACAATAAGTAGCACAAAATTATGCAGTAAAGACACAAGTTCATTTGTAAAAAATGTCTTTTTTATTCAAAAATAGCCAAGAGGAAAATGTTTTGTCATCGTGGGTTAAGCTGGTAGATTTTTGAGTGGTATAAGACTTTAGTAATGAAAGCTAACACTAGAACTAATAGCAATGATGGACAGTGATGTCCATGGGTTTTTCTCCTTAATGAATGTCAACATGTTAGTTTGTTGAGGTAACACTTACAGCAGCGAAATATCTTTTCACTGTTTTTGGTTTTGGTTTATGTTATCACGAATAGTGATACAGCCACACAACCAGTGACTCCTCATTCACATCTGTAATGACACATCCCTGGAAATGCTTTCATGTCAAGGCAATTTTGTTAGTCATTTCAGTATTTGAATACCGGCAATTGGAAAGGTTGACTGAGATCTGAAGTACTCATTCACATATTTACTCACCAAGAGATCATGACTGGCCCTGCTTAACTGGATGATCGGTGGTACATGAAACACTGAATTATGCATGGGAAGAAAAAGCCCTCTACACATAGTTTTTAAGAGTATTTTTAAAGTGTTGAGGTATTTGAAAATGAAACATGTAAATATCAAGTATTGAGATTTTTTATCATATTGCCAAGTGGCTGCTGCAGATTTAACACCGAAATGACCTCAGTCACTAAAACTATCTTTGGCTTCAGGAACAGAATAGTAATAATCTTCTCTGTCTTCTCAGATCCATCTATGCAACCTTAACACAGCAAGAACACTATCCATCTCTCTGTGTGGATTTATCATTTAGCGAGCCTTTATCTTTGGTCTTAATGTCAGCCATCTAGAGTTCTACAAACTTGCTCCAATAAGAAGACGACTGTGCATGTCCAGCTGACACATTTGCTGGGAATCAGAATCACCTTTGAGGATGCTAATGTTTAAAAGACAGATCTGAACATGTTGATGCAGTTTAACTTATATCCTGCATTATCAACAACATTGCCTTAACAAGTTTTAAATGGAAAAAGGAACGGAAACTTAATAACACAGAGCTTGTGAACAGCCAGTAGATGAATTACATCACTCAGAAACAACTAAACACCCTTGTGCTGTGTACATGACAACCACGACTCACTGGCAGTCTGGATCAGTTAGTGCAGTTTTCAAACCTCAAACCAAAAAAAGGTGGATGTGCTGGTCTTCTTGGCCTAGACCAATTTATGGAAAATAATCACAATATAAATTGCAGTCAAATTACTGGTGCCAGTGGTATTCCCAAATCCCCAGTGTTCAAATAACATCTATAGCATTAAAACACTTATTTGCAGTCATAGACCACCTAATTAGAAACTCATCTCTTCTAGCTTAACCTAGCTGGTGTACAATTAGAGACTGTAGCCCATCTGTTGATGCACAGTTTAAGTCAGCCATTCTCTAGCTCCTCATTAGTGGTCAGTTTCTAACCACAGAGGTACTCTTGGCTGGGTATTTTTGGGTGGTGGACCACCTTCAACCTAGCAGAGTCACTACCCTGTCCCACTGCTGTGCTAAGAATGGTCTACTATCCAAACTGTATCTGTTCAACAGCGTTCCTGTGGTCAGAAACTGACCAGCGGTGAATGGTGAAAGTGTGAAGCAACATGTCCGCTAATTGTACACCATAGGGTGTAGCACATACAGTGGCCAGTGAGTAGAAGATACAAGGTATTCTTATAAAATGTACAGGGAATGCATAAAAAGTATAAAAATCACTGCAGGTGTTAATTCAGCACTCGGGCTTGCTGTATACTACCCATGCATCCATTTTAGCCTATTCCTCAATGAGTTAGGATCCACCAAGAACTCAGGTGCACAAAATTAAAGGATTGTTTGAAGCAATGCCATAGGAGAACAGCTGTTATTGTTTCCTAAAGAACCCTCCAAAAGATGTCAATAAGATGTGTGAGTTTTAAGAATCTAAGTAAGTTCTATACCAATTAAGATTTCCCTAAAAGCGTAAGTATAAAGGTTCTTATATTTAAGAACCTTTATACTTAAGCCTCCCATTAAGAGAGCTGTGACCATCAACATTAAAATTCAGCCGCTCAATCACCCAACAATGAGGACAACATACAAAAACCTGTAACATAATACACGCTTCAAGCCATATCATGAGAAAAGACACATTCAAAGCATGCACACACAGTTCATCAGTCATCTGGCTGAACGTCTCATTACCAAGTGTCATTCTAAAGCAGCCAAAAACAGAAAGCCTTTTGATTTCCCACTGTGTCGAGACTGCAGTAGTGGTAGACAAGTGCAAGGAACCCTAAGAAAAGCTTGCAAATCAAATAATTAGTTAAAAATGGATGGCCTCTATGATCACTGGAATGTTCCAGGACCCCTGTCTATGTGGACTAATGCACTGGCTTTACTTGATTCAAACGTGTACATTGCCACATGAATAAAATATATTACATCAATACTGTTATTGCCTAAGAAAGACAACCTTGTTGACAATATATTTCAAGCACTCAAGGATTTCAATCCCTTACAGCGCCCCTAGTGGTGAATGGGAGATGTTGCCGTTTTGCCACACTCACCTATGCACTGGATCTCGAAGCCACGGGGTGCTTTGAGTGACCGACGTGTCCAGCCCTCCCTCAGCACCTCCAGGTGCTCCTCCTTGCCCTGGATGAGCAGCACATGCTCATCGATCCAGCCAAGGAAGAATGTCTCCTCCACGGCTTCTGTCACTTTCTTGTTCCAGAAGTGCTGCATGTTCTCTGCCTTGAAGTCAGCGAAGATCTCGTAGCCCGTGTGCCGGTGTTGGATCTCGTCGGTCACAGTGGCTGCTTGCTCCGTCCCTACACGCCGCAGCACAATGGCCAGCGAGTGCGGCGCGATTTGCAGGAACCGCTCCATTGTGTATACTCACAAAGGTGCACACATACGTACACACACGTGGGAATCTTTACCACCACTCCATCACACCACCCCCAGCCTCTTCTCCGGCTCTAGTCCACCTTCACCTCCTCACACTCCTCTTCCACCGCATGGCTGTGATTCAGCTGGCACACTTACGTTCTAGATGCTAGTGCACTATTAAGAACACTGGCTAGTACGATTAAAATCCCCCGTATACTGGCAAGCTTGCTAGTACAGCCAAGCAAGAACATTGGCTAATGTAAACCTACCAGTCCAAACCGCTGCAATCATAGCACACTTCAACATCACGGGTTTTCTCTCACGTAGCTCCACGTGGCTCGCAAATTCGTTCACTTCTGGAAGAATTTGGTTCACTGGTTCACTTCTAGCTAACATAAACAAACAGGTTTGTACATTTTTTCATACAGCACCACAGTATTATTCAACGTTTTGAAAGCTCAAAGAACTTTACACTTCTATACAAATGTACTTCTGAATTCAGTAAACAGAAAAATCTGTTGCACCTTAAAATGTTGATGTCTTCCAAGTATACACTAATTGTTGCTAGCGCACTTTATGCACAAACTTCTATGAATTAGATTAGCATTCTAGAATGCAAATACCCATTATCAAGTGTTTCAGTACACAAGTATGAACATAACTACACACCAGCTGTGTTCTATCGGAAGTACTAGCTAAGCATTCTGAATTATGCACGAGCCAGGCTTTCTAGAGCACAGGTATGGATTAGTCCTACATTCTAGAGTACAGGTATGCACCAGCTAACCGTTCTACAACGTAACAACAGCTAAGCATTCTGGAACGCAAGTACACATACACCAAGCAGCACCCACCAGCCAGGCGTTCTAGAGCGCAAGAACGCACTAGCGAAGCGTTCTAAAACGAAACCAAGCATTTTAATTCATTGTTCTAGGACGCAGGGACACAAAAGACTATCGTTTCAAAATGCAAGCGAGCTTACTGGCGCTCGACCCATGGCGGTAAAGAGCAGCAGCCACCGCGCCGTTCCCGGTCACTCCGGCTGCAGTTATCGGTCTCCGCGCGGATCGGCCGCGTCTCAGCTCAGCTCAGCAGTGAATCCTCACGCGCCTGTCCTTTTTCTCCGTGCCACTCCCTGCCATTCTCCCTACACGGGATCCGTGTGACAAACGGTGGCGATGACACTCGTGCAAAAAGGAACAAATGGAAATCAAACGGTGTTTTTAACGCGAGCAGAAGACTGTTCAGCGTCCGGTCACGGTACACCTCAATCCAGTAGGTTTGAGGAGAGGAAGGGTTTTACCCACCCGTTTTCCGACGAGCCCCGCCCACTGCACCGGGATTGGCTGGGTGAGAAAACCAAATACCAGTGGAGCTTGAATCAGTGTTGTAGAGGGTGTGAGAGTGTGTAAGTGAGAAAGATTCCTGTGCTCAAGCCTCAAACCTGCTCAGTCACGTTCTGTTCGTCTTAATAAAATTTATTTTCTTTTCAATTATTTGCAATTATGAGTAAATTTGAACAAAAAGTATCTAAATCTGATTGTTGCTGCTGTACCACAGATCCCTCAGCTACGTCATCCTGTTGTCACAGTTCTTTTCCCGCCCTAAGCCCGGTTGACTCCTCTCCCAGTATTCCTCCCTATTACCTTATTGGTCTGTCTGACATATGAGTTGCCATGGAAATGTCATTGGACTGTAATATCACGGCCACTTCATTAGAAATCCCCACCTTCTTGCCCCACCTTGCTGGTGTACAGTAGAGACTGCAGCTCATCTGTTAATCCATTTTTGTCTTCTGTCTTCTAGCTCTTCATCAGTGGTCAGTTTCTGACCACAGAGCTGCTCTTGGTCTGCTCACAGCCCAGCAGTGACATTGAAGAGTGCAAAAACTCTAGCAGTTCACTAGTGCCAATGCCGTAGACACTACCATATCAGTGTCACTGCTGTACTGAGAATGAACCACCACCCAGATAATATCTGGTCAACAGAGCAGCGGCCCTGTGGTCAAAAACTGATGAATGGGAGGCTGGGGGGCTGACAATTGCTACAGTTTGTTGTGGACCTACAACCCCATTTCCAAAAAAGTCGGGATGCTGTGCAAAATGTAAATGAAAACAAAATGAAATGATGTGCAAACCCTATATTCATTTAAAATAGTACAAAGACAACATAACAAATGCTAAAACTGAGAAGTTTTTTTGTTTTTTGAGAAATATATGACCATTTTGAATTTGATCCCAGCAACACCTTCCAAAAAATCTGGGATGGGGGCATGTTTACCACCGTGCTGCATCACCTCTTCTTTTAACAACACTCTGTAAACATTCAGGAACTAAGGAGACCGACTGCTGTAGTTTTGAAAGTGAAATGTTTTCCTGTTCTTGTTTGATATTTCAGCTGCTCAACATTTCGGGGTCTCTTTTGCCATATTTCTCATTTCATAAAGTGCCATATGTTTTCAGTGGGTGGCAGGTCTGGAAAGCAGGCAGGTCAGTTTAGCACCCTAACTATTTTTACTATAGGGCCATACTGTTGTAATATGTGCAGAGTGTGGTTTTACATTGTTGAAATAAGCAGAGCCTTTCCTGAAAAAGATGTCGTCTGAATGGCAACATATGTTGCCAAAACATGTATATATCATTCACCATTAACGGTGCCTTCACAGATGTGCCAGTCACCCCTGCCATGTGCACTGATGCCCCCTCATACCATCATGAAGACAGGCTTTTGTACTGTGCACAGATAACAAGCCTGATGGTCTTTAGCCTGGAGGATGCAGTGTCCTCAGTCCATTTTAAATGAGCTTGGGCCCAGAGAAGGTGGCGGCATTTCTGGGTCCACTTTATATATGATTTCTTCTTTGCATAGTAGAGTTTTAACTTGCACTTGTGGATGCAGTGATGAACTGTTTTTACAGACAGTGGTTTTCAGTGGTGTTCCTGAGCCCATGCAGTGACTTCCACTACAGAACCATGTTTGTTTTTAAAGCAGTGCCGCCTGAGGGCCCATAGATCTTGGCTAGCCAATATAAGCTTTTAGCCTTGTCCCTTGCATACAGAGATTTCTCCACATTCTCTGTATCTTTTAATGATATAATGTACTGTAGAAGATGAAATCCCCAAGTTCTTTGCTATTTTACATTGAGAAACATTAATCTTGAATTGTTGCACTAGTTGCCCACACAGTCTTTCACAGAGTGGTGACTCCCTCCTTACTTCTGAAAGACTCAACTTCTCTGGGATGCTTTTTTTCCACCTAGTGATGTTACTGACCTATTGCCAATTAACCTTCAGGTGTTATTTTTAGCATTACACAACCATCAATTTAAAAATGGGCATATATTTTTTAAAAAACAATAAAATTTCTCAGTTTCAACATTTGATATGTTGTCTTTGTACTATGCTCAAATAAATATAGGGTTTAAATGATTTGCACGGCATTGCATTTTGTTTTCATTTACATTTTTCACAGCGTCCCAAGTTTTCTGGAAATGGGGTTGTATAAGGTGGGTGGACTTTATAAAGTGGGGGGAAATACAAGGTGGGGGTTATAATTCAGTAGACAGTGATTGTGCATAATTTCAATCCCCTCCAACAACAAACAGTAATGTGCATCACTACTTACCAAAAACAGCTAGAGAAGGGGAGAGCATGGTTGGTTGGCACAGTTTTCACTCTGTCATATTTTCCAGGCAAATATGAACCGAAGAGCAGCAAATAAACACCCAATATCTTACCTAAAAACTTAGAATTAGTGCATTCATGATTTATAGGGCTGGTTGGTACAGTATTAGAATGCTAATTACAAAGAATGAAGCAACAAATATAAATAATCAGAGCTTTAAATTTAAACCAAACCACAAATATGAACATTAAATGGCACCTAAATAATGTTTTTAAAGAACTAAATATTAAGAATGTTTCATTTGTTTTAACACTGGCTTGTATTGAACAGGGGACAGAAAAAAGTACCAAACTTCTGTACTTGAGAGAAAGTAGAGATAAACTTCCTAAAATACATGTATAGTTTGGGTTCACAATGATGTTATTTTCATCTTTAGTAAGTATAATCAAATGGCCTATAGAATAAAGATAAGAACACACACACACACACACACACACAGATTTTCTAAGCTGTTTATCCTTCTGGGTCACAGGGAAGGTAAGAACAACTTGTTGTAATTGTACTTTTAATAGAAACACTGTGTTTTAGTTGTGTTAGTTAGTATGTGATTACTTATTTTGGCTTCCAAATCATATGTCAGATGTTGTAGTGGATTGCCAATTCTACTAACTAAAATAAACATTCTTAAAAATACTCTTTAAAACATTTCTATAATATATTTAGGCTGATTCAGAGAGAATTTTTTTATTTTAACATAAAAGTAATTTTGAGTTTTTCCAAGGGAAATTCAAAGGGCAATTCTATCAGTTTTTAAAAATGTCTAAATAATTAAATCATTAGGATGTAAACAAATTCATTCTGAGTGGTTGGATGTGAAACGCTCCATTTTAAATAAACTTAGGGAGTCAGAATTGTTTACAGTGGTGGTGATAGCATTCAGATGTCCGAAGTGTTTAATACCCCTAAAAGCTCCCACACAGAATGTTACTACATTAAATAGTTATGAACACTCTTCCTGATGCCCCAGACATTATTTTACCATAGTGTTGAGAGAAGGTTTTGGCCTAAAATGTATTTTTAAAATCCATTTATGGTGGACAGGCATATGCTGGTCTTGGTAAGGAAATATATGGGAAATGTGAATAAAAACAGAATGCATTTAAACCCTAAATGCAATTAAACTCTATAATTCAAATTTAAACCCTATTATTGGTTTGATATTGTAATTACGGTTTGGCATTGTCTTGCTGAAACGAGCAAGGCCTTCCCTGATAAAGAGGTTGTGTGGATGGCAACATGTGTTGCTCCAAACCTGTATATATCATAGCCTTCACAGATGTGCAAGTCACAAAATACCGTGTGCACTAATACACCCCCATACCATCATGGATGCTGGCTTTTGAACTGTACGCTGATAACAAGCTGGATACTCCCTCTCCTGTTCAACCCGGAGGACATGACATTAATGATTTCCAAAAAGAATTTTGAATTTTGATTCATCTGGCCACAGGACACTTTTCCATTTAGCCTTTAACCATCTTAAACGAGCTTGGGCTCAGAGAAGGTGGTGGCATTTCTGGATCTGTTTTATTTATGGCTTCTTCTTTGCATTGTAAAGTTTTAATATGCATTTGTGGATACAGAGATTTTTCCAGATTCTCTGAGTCGTTTCTTAGTATTATTTACTTTGGATGATGAAGTCCCCAAGTTCTAGTGCTATTGTACGTTGCGAGATGTTATTCTTGAATATTTGCCCATGCAGTCTTTCACAGAATATTGAACACTTGAACACACATATTTACCTCTGAAAGACTTCTCTGGGATGCTCTTTTTATACCCAGTCATGTTACTGACCTGTTGCCAATTAACCTAATTAGTTCTGAGATGTTCCACTAGGTGTTTTTTTTGGTGTTACATGACTTTATTTTTGCCAAGTCCCAACTTTTGTGAAATGTGTTGCTGGCATCAAATTCAAAATGGACATACTATTTTCAGTAATTTTACAAAAAAAGAAAATTAATTAGTTTAAATTTCTTAGTTTCAACATTCGGTATTTTGTCTTTGTAATATTTTAGTTATAAAACACAGGGTTCAAATCATTTGCACATTATTGTATTCTGTTTTTATTTACATTTTGCATAGTGTTCCAACTCTTTTGAAAACAGGCTTGTAAATAAAATGTGTGTGTTGTAGACATTGCGACCCCTAGTTCCTATCACCTCCTCTGTAAAGAAATCTGAGTCTAAGTTGCTCCAAAATTAACCATTCAGATCAAACTTCTCTGAATGACATGGTTTACATCCCAATCACTGAATTGTGCTGAAAGTTTGAAAAATCAATGGAATTCCTCTTTAAAAGATTGTAACATTCAGAGCTCTAGACAAAATAAATGAATGTTGGTCAAGAGGGCAGTCTTTGTATGTTACATTTGTGTGAGAGTTTCCCCTGCTGATTTGGAAGTTAACATTTTGCTAACCAACCAACTCTGCCAATCCTGTTCTCCTTTATTGTCAAAAGCCAAGTAAATGCATTTTACCTTAACAACCAATCTGCTAAGGTGGACAGAGGATTTACTAACAAAAAAGAGCCTAAAGTTTGGTAGTGGCACAGGCTTCACCCCTTTGAAGTCTATAATAATCCCTGTATTGTCTAACATCATCATTCTTGCTTATTCAGCCATGCCACTACACAGCCTTATTCTCCACCTGTTACTGTAATTCTTCATTTCTTTTTAGGTTTTCTTCTCAGTGCCTCCCCAGTAGCACAGAGTACTATTCAC